CTTTACAGTTCCGACTTGAGATAGAGTTGTGCTTCAGTTACATTATTTAGATATTGGGTTGAAGAAGCCTAATTAATTAAAAAATAATTATAGGGTGTCTACAGCTCACAGAAGTGTGTGGCTGGCAGGTTTTCCGCTCCTCAGGTGAACTTTATGCCACTTAAGGATACACCTGTTGCTTTGGTGTTTTTTCTGTGTTAATGGAGACCAGTGTCCTCGTTGGGTGATAAGGATGGTCTCTGGACCTAAAAACCCTCTTTTGTTGATACATCTTCCCTTAAAGGATCCAGGACCCTAGTCTATGCTGTATCTTTGGTGGCTTCTCTATTTACGTGGTTCTCAATGAAGGCAATATTTTCTTTTCCAAGTCTAGAGGTCAGATTTATAACAGTTTTACAAAGTAAGTAATTTTAGCATCCCAATACTAATATCAATTCACCTGAAAACTATTTCTTTACCTGCCACACACTCCTTAACCCCTTACACCCAGTATTCTGCCCTTTCTCCTCCACTGAAATTGCTGTCAAAGTTCCCCAAAGTGCTGACCGATCCAATTTACAGTTTTCTGTCCTTCCCTTACTTGACATTGCTCTGGCATTTGGCAACTGTTGACTGCTCCTTGTAACTCCTTTCTGTTGACTTTAGTGATGCGTTAATTCATTCAACATCTAGCTAATATTTATTGAGCACCTACTAAATATCACGCAGAATGCTAGGCATTGATCATATAATGTTGAGCAAGACATGCATTTCCCACCCCCCACCCAGATGTTTTTCCCTTTTGATACTGTGCTTATTTCAAAGATGTAGTATTAGACATGCTTCACCTTGAGATCTACCTTTGCTACCTACAGTTGTGTGAGCTTGGGCAAATTCCTTAACATTTTTCACTTGTAAAATGAGGACAATTAAAAATACCTACCTGATAAGAATTTTTTAAAGTGTAAAGTGATCTATGAAAATGTTCAGCACATTGCTTAACACTCTTCTCCCTGGGACTTCTCTAATTCAGGCCATATAATCTTTTAAAGACATTATAGTGTCTCTCTGGCTGGTGTCTTTGACTCTGGTCTTGGCACCCTAAGTCCAGCCTCTACATTGCTCATCAGTTAACAACTCATCCCTCACTCCTGTTCCCCAGATAGATCCACTTACTTTTTGCCCTTCCCTGATCATGCCAGGCTCTTCCATTTCTCTGGCTCATCTGTATTCCATTAGTGTCCCTTCATTAATGTGATTGTTCCTTCATTGTTGGGTTTTCGAACACCCACTTTTTCAAGTCTCTGTTCAGACATTATCTCTCTGAGGAGAGAGTCAGACATTCTTTTCTGCGTACCTTCATAGGTATTCCCATGTGCCTCTGTTACAGCCCAATCCCACTGTGATTTAATTAGCTGTAGAGTCTCCTATCAGAAAAGAATGTGTCTAGTTGTCTAGGTATCCTTAAATGTGGCACAAGTGTAGCTTTAAAAGCTTGATTATATTTATCAAACAAATACTTAGAGGAAAGCTTAGTTTCTGTGAATGAAATCTTAGTGTCTTTGTTGGCAGGCATTATGCTATTGATGGGTATGCAGACATAAAGGGGATAATGTCCTTGTCCTTAAGAAATGCACAATGTGAAGTCAGCAGATGAGGGACCAAAGATTCATATCATCGATGAATAGATTATTTTCAGCTAAAGGACTTCACGTTTAGGCTATTCATTTTTCTCGAGAGGTGAATTAACAGTAATTTAAAATTCTGACTTCTAACTTACTTGTTAATGAAAGCAGATTTTTTATAAGTTTTGCCCCTAGAGGAATGTATTCTTATAGACCCAAATGTCAAGCTGTCATAGTGTTTTCTGTTATGAGAAGATGAGCATTGTCTATATGTTTTAAGTGATTTACTCTAAGTAGGGGGTTTGCATCAATCGTAGGTACAGCCTTGGAAGTGAGAACTGCACCAATTGAGCTGAAATACTTTCTCTGTGCTTCCTAAATTTTGAGACAAGGTTTAAAATGTAACTCTTGGCTATTGATTTATAGCATATTTGCAGTAGTTACAGTGATCTTTTGCTAGTTTTCCATGTTTCCAGCTGGAAGAAATTTTTTCTTCTTTTATGATCTTGTACATTTTCATAATTGTGAGAACAAAAATCTTTATTTGTTAATCAAGGATTGTGATTTTACAGAATTGCCATGTATAGGATTTGAGTGTAATGTTCAAAACATTTCAGCTTTTCTTTATTGATACAAGTTACTCTAGCATCCTCGCAGGTCTTGGTGTCCTCATTGCAGAATTAACGACCCTGTACCAAAGTGCTTTGTAAGACGGTGGGGGTTTCTAGCTGATGGAATGCTGTACTCAGTAGCTTTTAGTTTGTGCCTCTGGTGAATTTCCTTGTTATTTTCTGGATGATTTGGGGGGGATTCTGGTGTTGGAAATAGAGCATAAGCTTACTGCATTATGTTCATGTCTACGTTCTTTAATAACTCTGAGGGCATTTTCAGTGTTAGGAAAAAAGCAAGTTAGAAGAAATACTCTTCCTTTTCTGTGCGTAAAGACTCTGAATCCTTTTAAAATAGAACTCTTCAAAGGATAGAAGCCATCCGTGAAATATTTTTAATGGCACATGGGATTCTGTAGTTCAGCAAGTATAGTCAGCTTATAGGAATTTTTATTTATTTGGAATTTAGTTTTAATTAGACTTTTGTAATGAAAAAACTTAATGGCAACCAAGAACATTGTTTTTGAAGGGATATCCATTTAATTTGTATTAGGACTTTTTAGTTCGGTAGTGATGATGATACAGTGATTTGGCATAGGAAGGTATTTTTGTGAAGGAATTTTCAGACAGATAGTCATCAAACCAAGAGAGTATGGTTTTAGAAGCCAGAGAGAAGGGAGATTTAGGAGGATGAGATGATCAGTAGAGTCAAATTAAAAGAAAAACAGCAAACAAGGTTAACTAAGGTAGGGATTGAGCAGTAAGTACTGGCTGAAGCATTTGCAAAAGTAGTTTCAACGGAGCAGTGGGAACAGAAGCCAAATTGCAGTGAGTGTCCTCCACCTTGCTTTTTTCCTTCCACACTGGAGAACTGGACAGATGAACGCTATTATTCTCCATTTGGGTTGACATTATTGTTAGTGAATGCAGCACATGCTGAAGGGCAGTCTCGTACCATGACCATGTAAGATGCGCAGTCATGTTTTTAATCTCGATAGGGGACTGTCTCAGCTTGACTTGCATGTCAGATCTATGAAACCAAAATTAATGTGAAATTCTTCTTAATAAAAGGACTCTTTCTTACTTGGATTTTCTACTGCTTTTTGTTTCATTGCTTTTAAGAACTTTTTTTGTTAAACATTTCTTCACTTGGCTATCACAGTGTTTATGTTCTGTAGTACTCTCTCACAAAATATTTGATGTGTTTTGACTGTGTTTTCCAAATGGTGGTGTTGACTGTTCTATTCCTGCATTTCTGCATGGAGAGAACCCTTAGGGAATGATAAGGTAGGAACAGCAAACCGAGCTGTAGACAACCCAGACTGCTCTGTACTTGAACAGGACACTAGCAAGGTGACCTCTGTCTTTTCCCAATCCTGCCTTACCTTCAGGACCTCCCTGTAAGATTCAGGAGATGAGGCAAGAAATTATGAACATGCAAACTTACATGTATTGATTTCAGCCAAAGTCAAAGGAGAAACAGTAGAATGACTCCATATGGAAGATTCCTTTGGCACACACACTCAGCTCTCATGTATGCATTGTACTCTTCCTCTATGGACCATAAATTCCCTCTGTATTTCTCCTCAGATCATCCTTAAGGGTTGATCTAACTAGATCACATGTGACTGGTTCTAATTTCTACATCATGCATTGTGTGTGTGTATGTATGTATGTATGTATGTATGTATTTTTTGTTATAATTCCATTGCTGTAACATAGAGTTCCCTTGGCCATGGCATGTGGAAGTATGAACTGAGGATACAAAGGCTTTTAACTCTTTCTAGTGAGATTCCTACTCCACTCTTGGCTACTCTCATTTTTTGCGGGTGAAAGAATGCAAATTAGCCCACAGTTCTGCCATTTTTAGTTCCTTGTTTGTCTCTCTCTCACTGGGGTCTAACTTAATTATTTCTGTTGACACTAGATAAACTGATGTCTTTCCCCACTCAGGTACCATAAATTCCCTCTCTGGACGATATTTCTTACTTAACAAATGAATTTTGATAAGATAGTAATAGTGGATGGGTGCAATAGAGACACAACATTATAAGTTGCTTCTAAAAAGTTCCTCTAACGAAGAGGGAAATCATTAAGATGATCTTATTTGTGCTGATTACAGCAAATGCAGTAGGGTATTGAAAAGAAAAGTGAGCAGCTAGATTAGCAACATTTGGAAAGTTTATGCTGTAAGGGGCTCAGGGGAGGGAGGCATGAACAGGCAGAGCACAGAGGATTTCTAAAGCAGCAAAACTACTTTGTATGATGCTGTAATGGTGGACACTTATCATTATACATTTGTCCAAACCGGAGAGTGCACACCACCAAGAGTGAACCCTAATGTAAACTATGGACTCTGGGAGATGATACTGTGTTATTGTAGGTTCATTGGTGGTAACAAATGTATCACAGTAGGCCAGGACTAATGGTGGGGTGAGAGGGAAGCTGTGTGTTTGTGGGGAGAGGGTTCTATGGACAATATCCATACTTACTGTTCAATTTTGCTGTGACTCTAAAACTGCTCTAAAAAAATAAGACTATTTAAAAACAAACAAAAATACTAAAACAAGTTTACGCTCATTAACATCTTAGAAGCCTCCAGAAGATGAATTGAAATTTACTTTCTCTAATTCAAAACGAATTCATCTCTTTGGGAATTTGTGGGCCCAAGGGAAATACTTCTCTTGCCTCACTCACCAGTTATCTCCTTTGATAAGCATTAAAAAAAAGCTATAAATTCGGTTATTTCATTATACTTCTCTAACATTTCCTACCCGTTTACCTCCAGGTTTGAAGTTTGAGGAAATCCAAGAAAGATTTGGCGAGGAGTTCTTTAATATATGCTTTGATGAGAATGAGAGAGTCCTTCGAGCTGTGGGCGGCACATTGCAGGATTTTTTTAATGGCTTTGATGCTTTGTTGGAACACATTAGAACTTCTTTTGGAAAACAGGCCACTCTGGAGTCGCCATCATTCCTATGCAAAGAGCTCCCTGAAGGCACTCTGATGCTCCACTATTTCCACCCTCACCATACTGTGGGGTTCGCAATGCTTGGGATGATTAAGGCCGCAGCCAAGAAGATCTACCGGCTGGATGTGGCGGTGGAGCAAGTTGCCAGTGAGAAGCTGGGCTCTGAGGCTTCGAACCCGGGCAACTGTGGTTGTCTTACTTTCCTTATCAAAGAATGTGAAAACACCACCATCACGAAGAACCTTCCCCAGGGCACCTCCCAAGTTCCTGAGGACCTCAGAATCAGCATCAGCACCTTCTGCAGAGCCTTCCCTTTCCACCTGATGTTCGACCCCCACATGTCCGTCCTTCAGCTGGGGGAAGGCTTGCGGAAGCAGCTTCGGTGTGATGCTCACAAAGTGCTCAAGTTCCAGGACTGCTTCGAGATCGTGTCTCCCAGGGTTCATGCCGCCTTTGAGAGGGTCCTGCTGCGCCTGTCCACCCCATTCGTGATCAGGACCAAGCCCGAGGCTTCTGGCACTGAAAACAAGGACAAGGTAAGCGGCCACGGGCTGGAGCTGGGTGGCGGGAACTGGAAGAGTGCGTAATTATTTCAGTAAATTACATGCTGGCTGGCTGTCCTTGTAATTATTTAGGCAAGAGAGCTTAAAGTGCCATTTTGGAAATCACTGGTGCCTGGATGTATGTAAAAAGATTTGGCCTTCTTCCCAGCCATTTTGCATAGGGTCTGCCTCTTCCATTAATTTATTTCAGCATATAAAAAAGACACTTATTAATACCAGCCATAGTAATTACAGAAATGATAGGACTCCCTTAAAGCCTGATACTGTAAACCCATGACTATTTCCACGGATGGAAGTCACACTACAGGACAAATGGTAAGATGGAATCCCGCATCGTGGGGCCTGCTTGCCTTCTAAAATAAATAGGGGTGAAGAGCAAGCTCCACTTTGCATGTGCTCTGCTCTAAATTTCATAATCGAGGAACATCTGGTTTGTATCCTGTTTTTGTCTCAGTTTGCAGAAGAATGGATTTTCTAAAAGTTGGAAAATTAAGGGACGATATTAAGACTTCTTTTCTAAGTAGATTTTAGTATTAAAACAGACTCCTCCTTCCTTCAGAACATGCTCACTGCTTGGAGAACATGGTGAACACTAGGAATTATTGCGAATTTCTTTGAATCCCCTTTTTGGAAAGTCTGGGTTATAACTTATAAAGAAACAAAAAGCTAAAAGATAAATCTTGAATTTGTTTACACAAATATGTTCCCTCAGGTAAATTTTTTTTTTTTTTAGCAGAAGTCAACATTAAAATAATAAAATGTAAAGAAAAGTTAGTCATTACTATTTTAAATAGGATAATAAATAATATAAATAATACTGTTCAAGGGTAGACATTTGCATATATGCATGTTCAGCTTCTAGTAGAGCTATTCAGTATTTTGTATCGAGGACAATAAAATTCTCTTGGGTGATTCAGCTTGTTCCCAAGCATTTTGGGGAAAGCTCTTGGCTTTTTAGAAATGAACAGGCTTGGGGTGCCTGGGTGGCTCAGTCGTTAAGCATCTGCCTTTGGCTCAGGTCATGATCCCAGGGTCTTGGGATTGAGCCCCGCATCGGGCTCCCTGCTCAGTGGGTAGCCTGCTTCTCCCTTTCCCACTCCCCCTGCTTGTGTTCCCTCTCTCGTTGTGTCTCATCCTCTGTCAAATAAATAAATAAAATCTTAAAAAAAAAATGAACAGTCTGCTCTGGAAGGAAGAGTTGTAGAGACGATTAAAAACTCAGTGAATGAATAATCACATATTCTGGAGCACCTGCCGTCATAAGTAAACAAGGGAATAGCCTCCTGGAAGCCCAGCCAAAGACATTTTTGAGGATTTCATATAGCATTCATGTTAGAACTGATTTTTATTGTTTTGAAATTCAGTGGAAAAATTTTTAACAAAATGTTTGAGAAGTAGGGAATGATGCCCATTTATTCAGGTTGCCTGGGTCCTGTGACTTACCATTTTTCATCATTTACATTCAGTGATTTCAAAACATCTATGGATAAACCTGAAATTCCAGCTAGGCACATTTGGGTATTTTAGTCTGAATGAATTATTTTTCTATGCGATTACACATTTTAAATAATACTTTTCACATGTGCATATTTTATATATATATATATATTTACATGTTCAGTGATTGCTACCCATTTTTGAAGCTGTTAAGAAAAAGAGAAAAGCTGTTAAATGTGTGTTTTTCCCATAGTTGTAGTTGATTTAAAAGGGAATTATTCTATCTTTATAATTTAGAGAATATTAAAGCTGTCGGTTCTGTTTTGCAGAAGTGAAGTGTTTGGCTAGAAGGGTTTGAGCAGGTTTGGCCTCTGAAATTGGAGAGAATATTTTTGAAAATGTGCCTGAGGTGGAATATATTATTATCCATGTTAATTGCTCTATATATTTGTAGATTTGAGAAAAATTAATTCAGTTTAAAGTGATTGCTTCAGATTCCCCCCCCGCCATGTTTCATCTGGCTTGTATTTCAATTTAATTTGTATACCAGGGTAAGGAATAGGCATAATGAAATGATGACTCAAATGTCAAGGCGCCCTGCCAATTCCAATAATAAGGCACTGTTCTCATTGAGAAGATACAATTATAACTTAAACATGGCAGTGACAGCTTAAAAAGAAAGAAATAGGCAGGATTTTTAGTTAGAATAAGGATAGCAATCCTCTCATCCTTATGTTTGTTTTGTTTATTCACCTGGGTTTGCCACATGGGACATTTGGGAAGCCATTCTTGGCCCAAATTGGAATGGTAGTCAGTATTAGGGCATGGAGTCTTAACCAGATGAGTAACATTTTTGAATTACTGTGTTTCCAAATCCCAAATTTGTATTTTTTGAAGACATGGAAAGAGGAAAGAGAATCAAGTTTAAAAATTACAGGTCTGGGGGCGCCTGGGTGGCTCAGTTGGTTGGGCAACTGCCTTTGGCTCGGGTCATGATCCTGGAGTCCCGGGATCGAGTCCCACATCGGGCTCCCCGCTCAGCAGGGAGTCTGCTTCTCCCTCTGACCCTAACCCCTCTCATGTGCTCTCTATCTCTCATTCTCTCTCTCTCAAATAAATAAATAAAATCTTTAAAAAAAAATAAAAGTTACAGGTCTGTTGATAAATTTGATCTTGGTATTCCTTATTTTCCCCATAAGAGCTCTTCTTGTTAAAAAGTAACTCCATGTTGAGGGTGTTATGCTGAGTGAAATAAGTCAGTCAGAGAAAGACATGTATCATATGACCTCACTGATATGAGGAATTCTTAATCTCAGGAAACAAACTGAGGGTTGCTGGAGTGGTGGGGAGTGGGAGGGATGGGGTGGCTGGGTGATAGACATTGGGGAGGGTTGTGCTATGGTGAGCGCTGTGAATTGTGCAAGACTGTTGAATCACAGATCTGTACTTCTGAAACAAATAATGCAATATATGTTAAGAAAAAAAGAAGAAGAAGAAGATAGCAGGAGAGGAAGAATGAATGGGGGTAAGTCGGAGGGGGAGATGAACCATTAGAGACGATGGACTGAAAAACAGACTGAGGGTTCTAGAGGGGAGGGGGGTCGGGGGATGGGTTAGCCTGGTGATGGGTATTAAAGAGGGCACGTTCTGCGTGGAGCACTGGGTGTTATGCACAAACAATGAATCATGGAACACTACATCAAAAACTAATGATGTAATGTATGGTGATTAACATAACAATAAAAAATTATTTAAAAAAAAAAGTAACTCCATGTTGTCTGAAGTTTCTAATTGTTTACTGTGCCTTGATAAGAAAGGGCAATTTTAAAAATAATTTAGGATATTCCTTTGTCTAACAATGGAGGCTTTCATGATAACTATTTTGGCTATGCCCTTAATACCAATGAACCACCACTCCCGCGGTCCAGAAAAAAAAAACAAACCCAAAAAATGAAAACCGAGAGCTAATCATGCAGCTGAGTGACAGTAAATCGTTTGCAGAATGAACTGTAATGTTTTTGCTAAACTGTGATCTTTGCCATTTTGTGCCATCAGTCATTGGTTTACTATAGACAGGAGGTAGGACACGCTTGTGAGCAATTTGGTGATATACAAATGAAACAGAAAGCCAGGATCCTGGTTCCAGAGAATTTGCATCTTGCTTGTGCAGTGATGAGTTAAAAAAACAGAAGAGTTGGTTACCAGAAGGGAGAATGTCACTGAGAGACTTCTGATGCAGTCATCACTGGCAGGCTCCAACTCAACAGATCTGAGGTCAGAAGGGACTCTTCCAGATGGACCAACCAAGCTTTGAGTCCCATTATTTGGCTCCCTGTGTGTCTTCTAAGCGATCACCCAGGTCTTACATAGTTTTCTCTCTCTCTCTTTTCTTGTCCTCCCATATGGCATTGCTGTGTTTCTGTCGTTCCTTAAAGCTCAACTTCTCTTCATCATCTTTCCTCATCTGATGTCAAGCATTAGAGATGAATGAATTAGTTCATTGTTAAAAAAGAACAGATTCAGCATTGGGAATTCTTGGTGAATTATGAATCTATTTTAATTTGTGCTGTGCATCATTAGGTCATTCAGACCTCACTATTATTCTGAGAATTTGGAAGTTAATCACCCTAAATCTTTTGAGGCATCATGGTGAGTTTAAGAAGAAATTTGTTGCAGTCTGATGTGTAGTTTGGGGGATCACATCTAGTCATATAAATAAAAAATTGACATAGGTTCCAAAGCCTTGTTGTGTGGAGGGCGCTGTGTTTGTAAATAGGGCTGTTAGAAACCAGAGGAATGGCACAGAACAGACACATAGATGAATGCTACATGGGTTTGCTTCAGCCACATGCAGAAGAATGAAACTGGACCATTTCCTTACACCACACACAAAAATAGACTCCAAATGGTTGAAAGACCTAAATGTGGGACAGGAGTCCATCAAAATCCTAAAGGAGAACACAGGCAGCAACCTCTTCGACCTCAACTGCAGCAACTTCTTCCTAGAAACATCGCCAAAGGCAAGGGAAGCAAGGGCAAAAGTGAACTATTGGGACTTCATCAAAGATAAAAAGCTTTTGCACAGCCAAGGAAACAGTCCACAAAACCAAAAGACAACCGACAGAATGGGAGAAGAAGAATGACATATCAGATAAAGGGCTAGTATCCAAAATCTATAAAGAACTTATCAAACTCAACACCCAAAGAACAAATGATCCAGTCAAGAAATGGGCAGAAGACATGAACAAACATTTTTCCAAAGAAGACATCCAAATGGCCAACAGACACATGAAAAAGTGCTCAACATCGCTCAGCATCAGGGAAATCCAA